GCTCTCAAAAATGCGTTTTACTATATGGATTGCACCACCATTTCATTTGGTGTTGATTGGACTCAAATATCTAAACCTTCCGGTCATTCTAAATGATGCTCTTAGAATAGAAGTTGCAAAAGCTATGAACGAATTTTTGAGACCATCAAACACGATGCTTCCCTTTTAAAACATTAAAAAGTTTATTTGCAAAAGCTTAGTAATATGAAATACAACATAATTCATGGAAATCAACCAGAATGCTAATACGTTAATAGATTATTCCAAATACTAGACATTACAGTTTCAACCTCCTTACCATTAGCTCTAATATTGGAATAACGTTTCAGTTAATAAATAATTGTGAATATAACCATATGTTCAGTTTATTCTCACCAGTTTATCTCGAACTACAATTTTGTGATTTGGGTCATAAAAATGATAAACAATTGTTTATATAGTTTCATAAATTGCATGTTTATTTAATTAATCCTGAAGAGAATCTAGAAATATATTCTGATGGGTTATTTAAATTCGGTGTAATTTTTAGCTCTTGGATTTTTAACATGCCTGGGTAACACTATAATTGCTCTTGAGTTTAATATTCTGTGCACATGTTGTGTAACATTTAGTTGATATGTGTTTTCACAGGCTGTTGTCATTTGCCGAAGTGAGTGGCCATAGTTTTTAAGCACTGAATTAAATGTCTTCCATGTATTTCAGAGAATTATGGGTTTCAAAAGTTACTGCTGTTATGGAGTGATCTATAAAGTGTTGTAACACCAATGCAAACACACACGATTTGTGGTAAAGAGAGTGAGTTTTGTTATATTATATATTCCGGATACTAAATACCTCTGGCCTAATAATTTCAATGCCATCGACATATTAGGAAAGACAGAATTACCTTCAGGTACAAACTATTCTGAGTTTGCATATCCTTCAGTGCTTATAAGGAGAACTTACATGGGCTTTCTATTGTTTGATAAGTTTGTCTATTGCGCTCAGCTATCACAAAGGCAATCTCTTCTGTCAAGTGTCCATCACGTATGGGAACAGTGTCAACAAAGAGCAACAAAGAGCCTCTCTGGGATTGATGTCAGCATTTGAATCTGCTGTTCTATTTTGGAATTTTCTGGTTCATTATCGAGTTTAAACCAGTAAGTGAGTTGCCTGGTTTCACGGTCTAAAATTTGTGCTATTTGAAATCGGTCCACACTGCTAAAAATCAGATAGCTTAATTCCATCATATGTGTTACTGAAATATTTCTAATCTCCTTGTAAAATTTTCAAGACTGAGCTGCAGCTAAAGCCAGCACCTACCAACGGCATTAGGGAGAGGGTCAGACGAAAGAAAGAAAGAATCAAAATTTATGCCAAACATCAAATGGCAGCAACAAAGCGTAGGAATCCTACATTTAAGTAACTGTTTAGATACCAGAAAATACTTCCTTCCAGTGGAAAAGTTTAGGACTCCTTGAAGAAATTATCATCTCCTATAAAATGAAAACATACATTCAAATTCTGGGTCCCCAAATTTTAAGAAAGCCCCGAAAACTTAAAAAATGACTCTTCACCCTTTGTACTCGTTTGCCCAACTCTACACTTCTGCAGATTGGGGACCACCTTACAGTTTGGGAGTGCTTGTACTTCTCCTTAGGGAAGAGATGGTTGGCACTGTTTCCTGGCTGGCTATAATTCATTTATGTCCCTCCAGTTTTTCTCTCTGATCTCTTTTCTGTATATCTGTCAGCAGCGCTCTCCTGGGAGCAGTGCGATGCATTTCATTAATAAGACAGGATTAAAGGAAAAAGCCCCAGTCTCCTAACACACTTGGATAATTTGGTGCCATTCACCAGGCAATAGACCCCTGCTGCAGAGATGTCATTAGAAAGGTACAATTTCATTACTTTTTACTAGCAGAGCCTTGAGTAAAATACAAAAATATGTTGTCTCCTATGCGGGAAAAGAAAAGTGCGAAAGCTTTCATTTGCTGCGTGCCCCTAAAATAGCAGAATGCAAAAATATATTTTATAGTTTTTACATTTATATTGTCTTCCCTTAGTAGTCCTTGAAATCCTGCTTTTATTAAACGTTGAGCAAAATAAAGATTAAAAGAAAATTATTTATATTCTTAAATCACATATGAAATTTACATGTATTTTTCTTAAGTAACACACTTGTTTTAGAATACCTACTATGTGCCAGGTACTCTGTTCGTTGATGGAAAACAGTAAAAACATCATTTATGAGTTGTTTTTTTTCCAGCACTAACTTAGTGAATGCTCTAACCGGAAAAGGGTGTAAAAGTGAGTGTATAGGAAGTAAACCATATGGCTGGATAAAAACGATCATGGGCCAGTAAAATGGTAAGTGTATTCGGAAAACCTATTTCATTTTTCCCTTACTAACCGATTTTTGAACTGACTATTGGCCAATGGTTGATAGTATTATCCTTTGAGCCGAACCACCCCCAGTTTTAAGCCTTTAGTGGTACACTGCAAACATCTGAAAAGATGGGCATAAATCATCCTTAGAAATGCACACTAGATCCTACAGATTCTGCCCCCAACAAGAAGCAAGGGGCCTCAGTGGTGGAGGTTGTGGTCGGCCCCCTCGCTGCAAAAGGGGCCTGGGATTTAGGCACCTGCCAAAAAGATGCCAGTGGGACTCCCAGGCGCTACCCTGGCGTATGTCTCTCTGGGAACCTCATGCATTACTTTCCTAGCACCGAAGAGAATCAGATTTAATAGTGGTCCATTATCTCACTGCCACAGACACACAACTGCCATTAGCACTAAAAGGTGGTGCACAGTTCCAACTGTGGAACTGTGCATGGGAGAAGAAAGCCCTTGATTATCAGCTATTTACAAGCTACTCTGTGCAGTGATAGGTTTTTGCTTTCCTATTAGCTTTTGTTCAGTGGAATTGACTTTTGCGGCTCTTTGTCTAAGACAGAGGCTAGACTAGACAGTTAAGATGGTAGAAACCGGGGTTTCCAGAGATCATTTTACTGACATAAGGCAAAGCAGTAGAGGGAAAAAACAAGCTATTTTGACAAATAAATGAGCCAGTAATAAAAAGACTTAAAAAAATGGGCTAGGTTACATGTACTACCTTCTACAAATGAAAGACTGGTCACCTAGTCAGCTTTGAATACAGAGTTTTGATGTCCCCACCGTTTTACTTTGCAACCACGTCATTCTTTGTCTCTCGTGCATTTTAATTCATTAAAATATCATTATGCACACAATGCAGATTATCAAGAAACGTCATGAGAAGTGGGACAGGAGCAGTGATCGGGACTGGTGGGACCAGTTCACGCCTTCTAGAATGAGCAGAGCTTAATGATTAACAAAAAGTCAGGACTCAACTAGTCATGTTCTTGTTATCGAAAGTAGGTCCCGGCTAATGTTTAAATATAGATAACCAAAGTTACAAACAAACAAAACCCCCAGTTTTGCCAATAAATTAAAAAAAATTAGCAAAATGGGTAAGTAGTTAAAAGCTTAGATTGTTAACCTCGTGTAGTGTATCTGAGGATGTGCACTGAAAACAGATCAACTATTTGAAACCATTATATGGACTTCCTTTCTCTTAATGATTTTTGTATGATGGTAAATTTCCACCCACCCCCCATATGATCTTACAAGTCTTTTGTCCTGAACCTCAATAGATGCCTTATAACTTGGATTTTTTTAGGGTGGAACATATATAGGGTTTCCGAAAATTCTTCAAATTGTCTGGGCTTTAGTTCCATATTACCTTGGACATTGAGGAGGAGGAAGGAATATTATAAATTGGAGTCGAGGTTGAAATCTGGGCATTTGAGATATAAATGAAAACAATTCATTAGCAATGACTCTTACTAATATTCTTTTGCCGAGGTAGTTTATAAACAGGGATTGTCTGCAAAAGAGTTTGTTCTATTTTCTCTCTTGAATGTGCATAACTCTTTGACACACTACATTTTGCCACTGATAAACTTGATTTAACAGAAGAAATACTCAGGTGAGGATTGACAATACCAATTTCATGGTGGCGAAGGAATAAGTTGATAGGTATGTCTGTAAGCTTTGTCAGGCAAGGCTTAACAAAATCGTGGTACACATTTTAAATTGACTGTGAATGAATGGCAGATAGATAAGCTAGATAGACATTTGCTTTGGGGATATTTTTCAAAAGATTTTTTTTTTTTTAGATTTGAAATTCATGATAGGTTTCTTCCATTCCTCCTTGGTAAATAACGAAATATGCACTGTCTAGATTAAGTAATATGACATGAAACGACAAACCTGTACATGTCTAGTTTATAACAGATCTGTTTCCTTAATGGGTGGAAGGAAATCTGAGGACAGTTCTAAGGGTTCTTGTCTGCTTTCAGTGCTGTCCTCTAGTCATACTGAAGATAACACCTCTCCAGATGGCTCTTTCCCCTTCTTCTCCTCACCCCGATCAATGTCGATCACGTGCACCACTCCGGGTTTGCAGAATCAGGTCGTCGGTCTCTACCTGACTCCTGTTGTCCTCCACCTCCATGTAGCTCCCTTTTGTTTGCTGGGCAGCTTTGCTGAAGGCTTCTTTAAAACGACGTTTGAGTTCAACATCTGGACAGAAGACATACTCATAAAGGCCACCCGCGAGGACAGCTCCTATTATTGGTCCAACCCAATATATCTGGGGAAAGTATGGAAGAGTTTTAGAGTGTAAGTGGAGCAAAACTATTTCTTTGAACAATACACAGATATAGAACTTAGCTGGTTTAAATTGAGAGCAAATGTGTCATGCATGAGAAAAAGGAGAATTGGAAAGAAAATAAGAAAATTAAATCTGCATCAGAGATCCATGTGTTACTAAATAACATTTGAACAGAAAATAAAAAATGACTGTTTCTTCTTCTCTTTTCCTGCTTTCAGTAATTATGTTCTTTTCATTTTCTAATAATCCTTAAAGCAAAGATAGGCCCTCTTTGGCTGTACTGTAAATTAAGAAGACACTAAGATGTCTTCAACTAAAATAGAAAAAAAAACTCTGGAGAGTACGTATTTTCTTAATATTGCCATCTTACACTGGTTTTCTGTTGAATCACAATCCTAGTACAGATTGTATCATTTTGGGCTTTAATTATTCAGGACAGCATGACAAATGGAATCCCAGCTCCACCACTTAGGAAACTTGTGACTGCTTACATCCGTAACTTAACCTCCTAAACCTTGATTTTCTCATCTGCAAAATAGGGATGATGGTAATACATACCTCATGGGTTGTCAGGACTAAATTCAAATAATACTGGTAAAGTACTTAATAGTTCTAATTTCATTGGTAACCTGTTCCATTCTATGTTTCCTAGACAATTTAAAGATGTCTGTGACGAGGCTAGCTATAGGTCATCTTCCTTCTGTTACATGCTTTTCTCTCTAAAATTTGGTGATTTGCTTTAAGAGAAAAACCTGATAGTTTGTCCATTAATTTTGCAGAGCTCCTTCATCCTTATGGTTCTTACACTGATGACTTGGTGGAAAAATCTGTTCTGAGTTTATGGGTGATGGCTCGCTGAGGATGAGCCATTCCAAGGGCTTTAAGTCAAAAACGAGAAATTTTTTATCATATCACTTAAATGTCTACAATAAACTCAGTTTTGAGTTTGGATACATTTCAACATTTGCTTTAGAGCACATGTTGGCTGTGGGATACTAGCCATTCATTCAACAGATAAACTTCAGGAACAGAAACTGTTTCTGGATCATGCTCTCTGAGCTGGCTCCACTCAGGACTTTTCTTGTCTGAACTCATTTAATGACCTTTGAGGTAGATACTATTATTATCCCATCTGATGGGTAAGACAACTGACACTCTGAGAGGGTAAGAAACTTTCTTAAGACACAGGAAACTATATTCAAAATCTTGTAATAACTTTTAATGAAAAAGAATATGAAAATGAATATACATATGTATATGCATGACTGAGACATGGTGCTGTACACCAGAAACGACACATTGTAACTGGCTATATTTCAATAAAAAATTTTTTTAATTGAAAGAAAACTTGATTAAGATTTCATGCTTAGCAAGCGATTGAGGTGGGATTTCAAGTCTGTCTGATTTGAAATCTCTCTTTTGAACTGTTTCACAGTTTTCTGCGACATTATGCTTCCCTTATTGCAAAAAAAAAAAAGATGAATGCTTCTGGCTTAAAATACTCTCTGGAAATTAAGCTCACTTAGCATCCTCATTGCAAAATCTAAAGAAAAGTCAAACTTTAAGCTGAAGCTGAACACATATACTTAACAGGGAACCTGTTGACAGAGTGGCTGCAAGAACCAAGTGCCTTATCTTGAACATGAAAGAAACGTGTGAGAGTTTACCTTCTCTGTGCCCTTTCAAAGGAGAAACGAGAGCCCTCCTCTAAATGTCTTTGCCCTCTGTTCCTTTGGTAAGATCTCATTAGGTATATTCTATTCAACCAACTACAAATGCCACACGGGAGAAAGAGGACTGCTGAAAAATTCCGACACTTCCCCCAAAACACCTGTGGCCAAGACATCTCGCTGAATGCTCTCAAAAACACATCTCACTTTCAAGTTGCTATTCCCAAAGTCATAATGCCCTTTAAAGTAACTTTTAAAATTTATAAAAGTAAAGAAGATTTATTGATTAAAAATAAAGTCCAGAAAAGTATAAAGAGGGAAACTAAAAAAATGTTACTACACTACACACAAAATCCACCATTAACGTTTTGTTGTTATTTCTAGTCTGCGGAACTATCTACAGACAGACTTTAAGTTAGTTGCTAATTTCACACCACTCCTGCAAACTGGACGTTCATTTCCCGATAAAGTAGCAACAAGGGGAACCTTTGATTCAACCAACAAGCTAAGAATTTTCTTACTATTTAAATTTTAACCCATTTCCTATAACTAAGAAATAATTGATAAAAACATGTTTTCATCCACATTTTAAAGTCCTCATGGATTAAAAGTTGTCATTTTCCAAATTTAATTTAGAAAACTGTTTAAATTTAAATTAAATTACAAATCCTGTTTGAATGTATAAACTGAACTCAAAGTTGTACTTTCTTCAGAAAATCTACATACTGTCTTTCCATTAAAAATTTCCACTCCTGTTAACATGGCAAATCTCTGGAAACATAAATGGAAATGTCAGTGGCAAAATGACCAATCTCACGGATAGTATGACTGACTAAGTGTTTGCATGGCTGGGTTCCAAATCTTGCTTTTAATCATTGACTCTCACGCTGTTATTTGATGGGCTAGGCTACTGGTAAGAACTTGGTACACTTTTCTTAGGAGTAAATGCACATAGCAGTGGTGCAAGGTAATCATGGTTGTGTGAGTGTGACTGTGTCAATAACCACTGCATACATGAGATTAAAACATAAGTGACACCCATAATGGAAAAGAATCTGAAAAAGAATATATATGTGTAATCAGGGGGAAGGTATAGCTCAGTGGGAGGGCACATGCTTAGCATGCATGGGTCCTGGGGTCAATCCACAGTATCTCTGCTAAAGTAAATAAAAAAATAATCCTAATTATTTCCTCCTCTATACAAAATAAAATAAAATAAAATAAAAAAAGAATACTTTGAACAAGAGGATAAAGTTGAAAAAAGTAACTGAATCACTTTGCTGTACATTTGAAACTAACACAAATTGTAAATCAAGTATACTTCAATAAAAAATAAATTAAAAAAACAGAAGTGACATATACTTACATTCATGAATTAAAAAGGAAAGGTGTAAAATAGCACTCATAACGTGTAAATGAAAATAAAAGTTAGCCCCATTTGAAGCTGACATACGTCTCATGTTTATTGGTTATTGTAAGTTAGTGTGTAATAGACCTTCAACACTGCCACGTTACTCATTTAAAAGATTTAAATTTCTTTCTGGTAAGAAACAATTGAAACAAGATTGATTGTGGTATTTAAAAACGGATACCCCAGCTCTCTGGAAGTGTTGCCACCACATTAATAAGTCGGTTAGGCATGAGGCTGAGAAGTGTGTCTTTTTCTGAAAGTCATTTATCTTTCTAGCTGTGGTTATGGTCATAATAGCATAAGCATTTGCAGCATTTATTCCTCACCATCTGCAGTTCAAATGCTTCCAACTCGTATACTATTAATTGGATTCATGCTTCTGTAAACAGAAAAGGTAAATATTTTTGCTAAGGGCAGTGCTTTTAAGCATTTCTCTTTCTTTTTCTTTTTCTTTTTTTTTCTCTTGCAAGTACATTTTTTGTTATTGCTGGCAAGGATTTACTTTCAATTATTTAAACACCATATTCACCCCCCCCCCACCTTGATTTTAACTTGTTCCAGATAGGCAACCTCCATGTATAATATATTCTGCCCAAGTCTGGCAGATACAGTGCCCAAAGCAATGCTTAAAAAAAAAGGACGATCACTGAAGGCCCAGAACAGATATAAGATGAGACATTTTGCAGCAGATCTGTGCTAGTCTTCATGAAAGACATAATAAGATGTAAAGGGGGCGGGTGGTCAAAGCTGGGAGGAAGAGAAACTAGTGAGCAAAATACTGAGCAGAAAAGAGCTCCATGATAGGAAAACAGGAACAACGAACAGAAAGGTTACCCAGTGGTTTTCCCAGTTTCCCATGATAACTGCAGGTCCAAAGGATCGGGCAGGGTTCATGCTGGCCCCAGTGTAATTGATCTACAGGGAAAAAGAACAGAACTTCAGACGTTGCTGACACAGGGCTCCTAACAGGTATCTTTCATTGCACTTTGCTGCCATTTGCCGAGTCAGTTACGGGAACTGTCCAGATGATAGCAGCCATATCAACATTCTCATCACAGAGATAGCAAAATGATCACCTAAAATGGACAGACGTGTCTGGATACTAAAGAACTATAGCTGGGAAACACAACATCTTCAGGCCAGCTCAACGGGGAGGATAAACGACATGGATCAATTATTTAAATGGACTGGGAGACTTACTGCAAATAAATGTCCAATTGCAACAGAAATTCCAATTGCTAAAGCTATCGACCCCGTGACATCGGTCCGTTTGGAATCGCAGCTGGCAAAAATTGTAAACACCAACTGAAAGGTGATTATCAACTCCACCAGGAGACCGTGACCAGCGCTAAGATTTCCATGAACCTGGAAAGAGAAAAATATTCCAACTGAATTAAAGCGAGAGAACATTTTGTACAATAACATATCATTGTGAAAGATATATTTTATCTCTGTAAAAACTGATGATTAATTTGAGTGTTCTGTCCCACCCTTAATTGAGATACTTCCCCCCCTCAAAAAAAGAAATAAGTTTCTACTCATCTTGGGCCATCACAAGATTATTAATTACTCTCACAATGACCAAGCGGGACTTTGTGCTGAATATCCTTTTCTACAAAGGAAGGAAAATGTGCCACTGCTGCACTTAACTTTAAAAGAGTTTCTTGAGAGTCTTATAATTTTATAAGGCAATGACTAAATCCATTAATTAGATTTAAATTAATTAATATATATTTCAATTAAAAGTTAAACTGTGTGTAGTTTTTTTAATCAACGCTGGCGCCGAGCTAACCAACGATATTACTAATCAGCTAAGAACAAAACTAGGATCAAGTGCCAATTTATTATTTTTGAGTGTTTACCCCGGATGTAGATCATTTTAAACCTCATGCCCATGACAAGAAACAAAAATGGTTCTTTCTGCTAGTGAACCAACAAATAATTGTAATAAAAAACGCCTTAAGCTAAATATATAGTCGGTGTAGTCACTGGGATGGAGAGAGAGAGAGGAAAAAAACAGCACAATTTTTGTGCTACCCAGACTCAGTGATATTCAAGTCATTCAACAGCAAATCATGATTTCATATGATAGATTCAGTGTGGCCAGTATCAGTTTTCACCCCATCAAGAATCAGACAGTCCCTGGGAATAAATTAGCAACTTTTAGGAAGGTCTCTTAGGCCTCTAGGGTGTCATGTAGCAGTCTATAAAGAGCCTGGAGTACTAGTTTGAAAACAAGAGCTAAAGATGGTACCGTGGTGACCCCCAAACCCCCCACCACGCTGGGAGGCGTGACCAGGTAGAGGATCCCGGCTCCAATGATGGCGCCCAGGCACTGGGCTGCGATGTAGAAGACAGACTTGGCGATGCTAATCTTCCTGGTGCACACCATGGCCACCGTCACAGCTGGGTTGATGTGGCCCCCACTGATGTGGCCAAAGCACTGGACCATAGTGGCGATGCTGAGTCCAAAGCAAAGGGAGATGAGAACCATGTCGACGGGTAAGGGCTTTTCTGCTCCACCCCAGTTGATGGTGGATCCCAGGCCGAGGAGGACAAAAATGAGCATAGCCAGAAATTCCGCGGTGACTGCCTTCCAGAAAGCTTGAGTCCAGACCCCTTTGAAGGCCACCATGATACTCTCTCTTCTACACAGAGGTCCACACTTACTGAAAAGGAAAACAAATTGGCCTCAGAAGCTACTAAACCAGGGTTTATGCATTTTGGTGAAGATGGCCCGGCCTGCAGACTTGCCCTACTGTGGGGAGCCCATCCCCGCAAAGGTTTTTTGCATACCAGGAAAGAGTGTTTCTGGAAAATCTCCTTAATTAATTATCTCCTTAATTAATAGTCAAGAGAGAGTTATTCTAACCTCCTTTGGTTTAATATCCAAAGACCATCCAGTTTCACTGGAAAATCATCTGAATTGTCCCTAGAAAGGAAAATGCTTAAGTCGAGTTCCTTAAAGAATTAAGACTAAAATAGGTTTATCTTGTAATTAACTCCCTCAGAACGAGTTTTGAAGTTTCAATGTACTTTTTACAGGTCATTTGTATTTGGAATTTACAGCCATAAAAAAGGGGGGTCTTTTCCAGTTTTGTACTTTACTGTTCAGATGGCATTCTGAAAATGGATTTGTAGACTCTGGATGAAGGGGAAGCCTGCTAGGAAGCCAGGGAAGCTGCAAGTCTGTCTTTCGAGAAGGTAAATTCGTTCGGCTGGAAGGGAACTGGGCGGCTGGCAGGGCAGGAGCTGGGCCCCGGCGACCCGGACAGGGACGCCGCCTCGCTCTCCCCCGCCAGCGGGTGGAGTCTGGGAGCCCGCACGCCCGGTTCCCGGGGGCCGGCGCGGGGACACAGACCGCAGACCGCAGACCGCAGCCCCCGGGGGGGGTCCGGGG